ATATTTGTTCATTGATGTAAAAATGAAACACTCATTTGAGTTTGTGATTCCCGCTGAAGACAGAATTAAAGATAGACCTTCACAGAAGTGCTCCCTTCAAAATTTTGGCTATATTAGATACATGTTAGATGATGTTAAACCAAGAAATGCTCATAGAATCCTGTCTTCGACAAATATATCAAATGAAGCGTATACCTTTTTTCAGCCCAACTAGTCTACTAGCTTGTAATGAGGATGATTATAACCAAAAACCAAACGAGATCTGGTTTTCAATTGGTGGTAAGCCAACAAGATTTTTCAATTTTAAAACGGTAGTTATATGTTTAAAACGTTCATGTGCCATTTTAAGTGAATAGTCAATTTTAGTAGGAGACAAGCTATGTTTTATATACCCTAAATGACAGTCATACTTGTAAAAAGATATTATGTCATTTTGGGTAACAGGGTCTCGATTTCACTTGTATATATTGAACGATCACACATGCTATGTTTTTGTATACCATACTTGCTACTTACATTTCTCTTTATTGTCAAGTGTAGTGTAGTTTACTACCAGATTATGAAGTGACTTATTATAGTTTGAACAAATGTGTGGACCGCAATGTTTAAATATAGTTAAAACTTTTATCCCTAAACTTTCATGTGATTACGAGTGTAAATGAATCGAAACGAACACTAAATGAGTAGAAACTTCAACCATACGTTTAAAATGACCAGATGCCGTGTTATATTTTTGTATACTCTATACCCTAAATGGAACCTCAACGTGTGAAATGACAATACGCCGTTTTGGATGAAGGGTCTCAAATTCACTCCAAAGCTAGTAAAATAGTGTTTCCAACATCATACAAGACTTGTACGATTGGATGCTGTTTTAGATCATGGGGTATCGATTTTACTCCGAACTTTCATCTCCAAACTTTCACATGGTTACGAGCGTAAATGAACCGAAACGAGTACTAAATGAGGATAAAAGTGAGCTATACGTTTAAAACGATTGGATGTCATTTTGGGTCACGGGATACCGATTTCACTCTGAAAACTAGTAAAACATGCTTTGAAACATTATACATGACTCGTACACATTGAACGACAACACGTGCTATATTTTCGATACCATACTTGTTACTTATGTTTTTCTTTATTGCCAAGTGTAGTGTAGTTTCCTACTAGATTATGGAGTAACTTACTATAATTTGAACAAATGTATCGATCGCAACGTCGAAATATAGTTAAAACTTCCATATCTAAACTTTCACGTGGTTACGGACGTGAATGAACTGAAATGAATACTACATGAATAGAAATGTCGCCATACGTTTAAATGACGAGATGTCGTTTTGGGTCACGGGGTA